ACTACTACTACTACCACTGCTGCTGCTACTACTACTACTACTACTACTACTACTATTACTACTACTAATAATAATAATGTATTGTCTTGGGGGGGTCTATTATTGCATTTATTTTACTTTAAAATTATGCCTTATTATTGTGGTTTTATGTTTGGATGTTGTCTGTTTTGTATTGTATTGCCTTTTTTACTACTACTACTAATAATAATAATAATAATAATAATAACAATGTATTGTCTTGGGGGGGTCTTTTATTGCATTTATTTTATTTTAAATTATGTCTTATTATTGTGGGGTTTCTTTTGTTTGGATGTTGTCTGTCTTATATTGTCTTGCCATTTTACTACTACTGCTGCTACTACTACTACTACTACTACCAATAATGTATTGTCTTGGGGGATGTTATATAGCATTTATTTTGTTTTAAAATTGTGGCTTACTATTGTGTCTTTTTTATTTGGATGTTGTCTGTCTTGTATTGTCCTGCCTTTTTGCTACAATGATAATAATACTTATTATTATTATTATTATTATTTGTAGCAAAAAAGGCAAAACAATAAATAATAATGCTATAAAGTCACCAAGCCATTTAGCAATGAAGCAATGTAATAATACAAAAAACACAGCTCAAGTATTTCTGAAAGGATTACCATGCTCAGAGGCATCTGTTAGAAAATTTTATTCTATACTTACATTTTAAACAAGCTGATGTTTTTATGATATGGCTTTGAAATTCCTGAGATATTTAACCATTGTTCCTTCTGAAGTGCTTGTCAAATGAGACAAGTGATGTCACTGCTTACAAGATGTTGATATCACTACACAATATTGTTAAATTTCTTTTACGTAGATAAAGTACAAATCCAACATATTTTAATATTATTTTTAATAGGGAAGGGTTGCTGTTTTTTGCGGTCTGTATCGCTGTTTGGGAGATGTGTCCTCATTTGGTGTGGTGTCACAGGGAAGTGATGAGAAATCTCCCCACTGGAAATGGTGATAGCAAAAAGAAACACTTTATTTTCCAGTAGATTAGGAATAGAATATACTCTTTATGAGTTTTTTTTATTGCTTTATATTCTTGTTTTGGTGACACATGTACTCATCACTTCTTTTGGTGATGTGAAGGGAAATCTCCCCATTGGAATCACAGACAACAATAACACAACATATTTTCTTCACTCTATTTAAAGCTTTAAAAAGTTTGGAGGGGATTTGGGTTTTAAATGAAACCCATAATGAGTGAAATACAAGGGCTGCTATTGTTGGCCTCTGTCTGAAAATGCTAGTTGCTTGGCTGTTTTTAGCTTCAGGCACAACCACCAAAATTTACATGACTGTGTCATCTCTGAACTGGCAGGTACGTCCAGGAAGAAGATGATGTCTGAACAAAGATGGCTCTGTCCTTCTGGAAAGAAAAGCATATACAGTAATGGCATACCTAAACCAAAGAATAGAAATGCTGCTCTAAATTCAAACTTTTCTGTGGGGGATGTCACTCAATTTCACAGCATTACTTTTGACACGTTTCTGCTGATCTTTCTCAAGGAATGCTATAGATATACATGGGGTTCCTTTGTGTATTTTTAATGGCTTGAGTTTATTTCTTTATTATAGGTATTTATATAGCACCAGGGGCGGACTGACCATTTGAACACTCGGGCACTGCCCGAGGGCCCGGGGTCAGTAGGGGGCCCCATGAGATGCCCCTGGTACCTTTTATTGTTTTTTTCATAGGCTTTTTTGGGTGTGGGCAAGGACACGGGGGCCCCATGATCCCCTACTGCCCAGGGGCCCCATGAGTTGTCAGTCCACCCCTGTATAGCACTGTCAATTTATGCAGCACTTTACATATATATATATATTGTACATTCACATCAGTCCTTAACCCTCAAGGGGTGTACAATCTAAGGGCCCTCACTCACATTCATACATACACATACTAGGGACAATTTTAGACAGGAGCCAGTTAACTTACAAGCATGTCTATGGAGTGTGGGAGGAAACCAGAGTACCCAGAGGAAACCCACGCAGGCACAGGGAGAATGTCAGGGGAAAAGATGAGGAAGCCCAGGCAAATGCACCAATGCTCAATATGGCCAAAGAAGTGCGCATACGCATAGGCGACCGGCACATAATTGCGCATTCCTGTGCATGAAAATGCACCGGCACAAGCAGGGTGCAGTAATTGCTGACATTCAGTGGCCTTTATAAGGACTGCAGCTCTGCTTAGTGATTGCTGGATTATCATCAGCCCCTCCCGTTCCTGAGTTTACTGCTGATTACCTGTTACCGACCCAGCTTGCTCCTGACCTTGCTCCTGTCTGCTGCTCTGTGTATGACCCCGATTGATCCTGATCAGGGGCGGACTGACCATTTGGAAACTCGGGCACTGCCCGAGGGCCCGGGGTCAGTAGGGGGCCCCATGAGATGCCCCTGTTACCTTTTTCATAGGCTTTTTTGAGTTTGGGCAAGGACACAGGGGCCCCATGATCCCCTATTGCCCGGGGCCCCATGAGTTGTCAGTCCGCCCCTGATCCTGATGTTGCTCCTGTCTACTGTTCCATATTGACCCTGGCTCTGGCTACTGACCAGGGGTGGACTGGCAACTCATGGGGCCCCTGGGCAATAGGGGATCATGGGGCCCCTGTGTCCTTGCCCAAACTCAAAAAAGCCTATGAAAAAGGTACCAGGGGCATCTCATGGGGCCCCCTACTGACCCCGGGCCCTCGGGCAGTGCCTGAGTTTCCAAATGGTCAGTCCACCCCTGCTACTGACTACTCTACTCATCCTCCGGGATGCACCTCCTGCAACCGGAGCACCCACAGGTTCCGTCTCATCAGGCATCTCCAAGCAGCAACACCACTGGCAATCCGTGCTTCTTTGGGCACTACACCTCCTGTTTCCACCTTCAGGGGCACACTGCACTTAGCCATAAGGGGAGCCCTCTCTCTCTATTGCAGCCTCCAGTCGGGTACGTGACAGAGAACATGCAGATTCCAGGCAGGTGGTGCCGTGGTGGTGCCAATGACCCTAGAACTTAGAGGATGTATTTTAACATTTGCCACCTACCTGTCATTTTGCCACTGGCCGGGACTTTGATAGAGTAATGCACTCAAACTCCTTTCTGCATCATTGCTTCTTTTTTAAAGCTGGCCATTTGTTGTATGAATTTTGGCTGGTTCCTGAGGAACAGGGCAAAATTTGCTCAGTGGGTGCATCTATTGGCTGCCTCTTACCCGACATCTCTTACAATGAAAAATTGAAGGAGCTGGGTGAAAGTTTTTTGGAACAACATTGGCTGCATCCAATCAGATGGAACCACTGTTAGTGGATTTTGACAGCTGTATGGGCTGGCTGTTGAAATACAAAAGCGTACATAGCACGTATAGTGTAGATGGAGGAATCTGTTCATTATTTTTCGTTCAGCTTGGTGGGCCAGTGTATAGTCAAGCTAAAGTCGACATTCATCCTAAAATAACTTTAATTTTTCCCTGCCTCCTCCCCCTCCCTCTTTCACAATTGGATATTGTTGGGTTTTTGTTGTTCTTAAGCATTTTTTTGCAGCTCAGCACTACAATATATCTCATCTAGGCAAGAATGATGATTGCAACCCTCCCATCCGCCCCCCTTCCTGGATTTTGTGAATGTGCAGATGTACTGCCAGGCTTTGGGTCCTGACTGAGCCCTGAGAAAAATATTCACATGCGCGGGTTCCCAACCATCTCCATGCTCACAATTTTCCTTGCTCATGCCCAAACACAGCTGTTGTGGAAATTCCAAAACTTTACTGTTGGCACATACGTGAGAAATCTCCTGCATGTGCACAGATGTGCCAAAGGGCTCTGCCAAGACCTGAAGGCCAGGTAGAGCCCTTTGGCACATCTGCACATGTTCCATAATAACAGAATTATATGTCATATGTGCCATATTAACAAAAATGGTGGCTCTGGAGCCAAACAAAAGAGCACTGAAGTTGTTGTTTATGATCTAAGTCCTACAGCATTTTTACCTATTAGATATACTTGTTGTTTAGCCCCTGGTTTAAAGTGGTTCTAAATCCTGAAGTTTTTTTTACCTTAATGCATTCTCTGCAATAAGGTAAAATAAGCCCTTCAGTGTGCTGCAGTCCCCCTTATACTTACCTGAACCTGATCTCAATACTGCAATGTGCATGAGAGCATTGGCTCTCTTGGCTTTCTCTGTCCTCATTGGCTCAGAGACCTCCTGCTGCTGTCAATCACAGCCAGTGAGGAGGGAGCAGGGGTGTGGGGCAGGGCAGGGCTGAGACATCCTGTGTCAATGAACACATAGAGCCTGCTCCGGAGTGAGCATGCCCGAGTAACACCTTAGCGAGCACCTTGCTATGGGGGCACTTGGCAGGGGGAGGATTGGACAGTGCCAGTGGAGGACCTGTGAAGAGGAGGATCAGGACTGCTCTGTGCAAAACCATTGCACAGAGCAGGTAAGTATGACATGTTTGTTTTTTTAAAAAATATAAAATGCAAAGCTTAACAATCACTTTAACTTTAAAGTGTTACTAAACCCAAAATAGTAAAATCACTCTGTATACGCAGTAAAGCATGCTTGTTATACTCACTGGGGAATCTAAGGGGTTAATCCTCTGCATTGCATAACAAGACAATTTGATCCTTTCTTCTCTGATCCTCCCCCTTTTCAAGCGATCACCTCTTATCTCCTCATAAAACAGACTGAACCGTAGGCATTCTGCATATGCTCAGTTTGGTGTGTATTGCTAGAGAGGTTTTTTTTTTCTTGGGAGAGTGCATGTGATCAGCACAGGGCCAATCAGTGCTGTCCAGACAGAGGTCAGAAGTTATGCATCCTCCTAGAGCAGAAGAAAAACTCCTCCTACAAGCTTTAGCTGGTGCTCTGCTGGTCACTGAAGTCACAAGACTGCTCTAACTTCTGATGAGAAAAAGTATTTAGCAGTTTATATTTACTAAAATAATTGCATTTCCATGTTATGTGTACTGTGGGAGACCAGATATAGTGAATGCAGGGTCCGGGGAGACCAGATATAGTGAATGCAGGGTCTGGGGAGACCAGATATAGTGAATACAGGGTCCGGGGAGACCAGATATAGTGAATGCAGGGTCTGGGAAGACCAGATATAGTGAGTGCAGGGTCCGGGGAGACCAGATATAGTGAATGCAGGGTCCGGGGAGACCAGATATAGTGAATGCAGGGTCTGGGGAGACCAGATATAGTGAATACAGGGTCCGGGGAGACCAGATATAGTGAATGCAGGGACCTGGGAGACCAGATATAGTGAATGCAGGGTCCGGGGAGACCAGATATAGTGAATGCAGGGTCCGGGGAGACCAGATATAGTGAATGCAGGGTCCGGGGAGACCAGATATAGTGAATGCAGGGTCCGGGGAGACCAGATATAGTGAATGCAGGCTTGAAAACCCTTTAAGAAATCGGCTGGATTACCATATAGAGGAATCTTTTCAGCTGAATCTTTGATTTATACAGATATTCACAAATATGAGAAAGCAGAACTATTTATGTTGTATCTTTAGCACTACTGGACTATGGATTGAGCTATATATACTCAAGGTAAACTCTAATACATTGCTATTGTGTTAATTACCTGGAATTGTTACACTTATGTGTCAATCAGCATGCATACACCTAAAGTGACATGAATGTGAATGTGTAATCCTCCTATTCTTGTGTTTTCTTCTTATTTTTTGGACAATCAAAATAAAGAATTAAAAAAAATACATACTTCAACAGATTTAATATAAAAAAAGTCACTCTAAATAATACCCGTAATGATCGAAATATAGACGCCACTATAAGCGAGCTGTGTGCAGTATAATTACCCTTAGTGAATAATCCGGCTTTCTCACCTATTGTCAGTTTATTGATGTAGGTAAAATATGCATGAGCACACTTCTTATGGAGAATGAGCAAGAGAGTTCACACACTCTATAGAAGCCGAGTCTCACACTTTAGTTAATCGAGTACTTGGGTCAGGGCTATCCCCTCCCGCTCTGGTTTCGCTCCTGTGACTAGGCCACACATTTACATTTGAGACATTAGACATCGTTATAGACCTGAGGGCAGTCACTCAGCGGAGAATGAGGAATCAGACCTAATTCTGTGAAATGGGCGATGAAGATGAATAGTAAACTGCCACTCCGAATGTTGTGCCCTCTTCTGGGAAAACAGCCTTGCCGTTCCACTTATCTGCACACTAATTGCCACCCTCAGCTGAGTCACAACCTGTAGGACAGGATACATTGCAGACAGAGCCTTCAAATCATGCTGCCATTAGTCTGCTTCAACTAAGACTCACATCCATTATTGATGACTTTGCTATGGCCAAACACTTCCAATGGTGAGTGTGCTGTCCTGAGACAATGAGGTGTCTGGCCAACAGCACTTATTAGACAAGGTGGGCTTTGTATTGCCCGGAGAGCCAGTCTTTGGAATTGCACTTAACACGGCTCCTGCTTAAAGTCTGATAAGATGGGCTTGGTTTATGTTGCGTAATGGCTTGAAGCCTCAAAAAATAGGAGTGGTAGGACAGACAAGGAAGAAAATGACATTGTTGGGAGACTTCAGTGTTACTGATACATTAGGGTGTGAAGAACACAAATGGAACATAGAGGATTGACAGCAGGAAAAAATGATGTGATCTATTGCATCTGCCCATCTGTTTTTTTTTTTTTTTTTTTGGTCTGAGGATAGATCTATGTTTATCCCAAGCATGGGTCTTGGTAGGATTGTTTAAAGTCTAAGGCAGTGCTGGTCATCTTTCTTGATATGGGGGGCTTCAGGTGCTTGGGCCTCTCAACATCACCAAAGAGCCACAAATAAAAGTCCATGAATATTCATTATCAGATATAGCAGACACACAACAGGATATAATCAAAAACTATGGGCATAATGAAAGAGATTGTCAGAGACTTCTGAAATACTACAAGATATGGTCAGGCGCTGCAGATATGGTACAATAGATCGCTCCTCAGTACACATATCTCCTCCCATTACACATCTCTCTCCAATAACTTCAGTATACAACTCTCTCCCCCTGTACATACAGTATTTCTACCCACCATTATCAACACCCCCCAGTACACATATCTCTTCCCCTTACACACCCCACAACCCCAGTACATATGCCTTAGTACACATTTTTACCTACCAATACACCATAGTACACATATGTCTTCCAGTTTCATATCCCCCCCAACCCCAGTAAGCATCTACATCCAGTATATATACGGTATCTCCTCCCATTACACATCTCTCTCCCCTAACCCCAGTACACGCCCCTAAGTCCCAGTACATATTTTTGCCCACCAATACCCCCCCCCCAAGTACACAAGTCTCTTCTTGTTACACATACCCAACCCCCAGTACGCAGTACGCATCTTCCCCCAGTATACATCTCCCCCCCCCAGTACACATCATTCCCCAGTATACAGCTCCATCCAATATATATATCTCCTCCCATTACACATCTCTTCCCCCTAACCCCTTTACACATCTCTCTTCCTCAGTACATATTTCCCCCTGGTTCATCTACTGAAGGATTTGTATTTCCATTTACACAGTCCTCAGATTTATACAGCTCTGACACACAGCAAAGCCCTGTCAGGCAGGGCAGGAGGCATGATGTTTTTTTTGCTGTAGTAATGTAACACTTACAGATCTTGTCTCTGCCCCAACCTATGACTGGATAGTAGAAGTAGAAGCAGCAGATTCATTAACTCATCTCTCTGTCACTCTGCTATCTTCTCCTATCATCATGCTCTTAGTTAGCACATGAGCAATGTTGCATGATTAATTGGCTCCTTGTGCTGCATCTCCTTCTAGCCTAGTCTAAACTCTTCTGTACGGGGACTGCAAGATGCTGATGACAGGTCAAACTCAAGAACTTATACTGCTTACATTTAAAAAATACATTTAATGGGCATTAATGAAAGCAGAGCAGCATTAAGTTGTCTCTTTATTGTCTGCTAAAAGTCCAATATAAAGCAGAATTAAACCTCCAAACAAAAATAATATAATCACCCCCAGGACCCTTATGCCATAATGTACTAGTATGCACAGCATTTTTTATTTATTACAGGTACTTATATACTGTAGCACCATCAATTAACACAATGCTTTACATATATTGCACATTCACATCAGTCCATGCCCTCAAGGAGCTTACAATCTAAGGCCCCTAACTCACATTTATACATACTAGGGCCAATTTACCTGCCAGCATGTCTTTGGAGTGTGAGAGGAAACCAGAGTAGCTGGAGGAAATCCACGTAGGTACAGGGAGAGCATGCAAACTCCAGGTAGGTGGTGCCATGGTTGGGATTCAAACCAATAACCCTAATGTTGCTACTGTGCTGCCTTCATTATGGCAGACCTATCTGCAAAATGATCCAGCACTGCAGAGTCAGCTCTCTCAACTATCACAGGAACTTTCATCTTCTTCCAGGTTCGGACTCTTCAGCTGCTTGATTGGCCAGGCCATGATGATGTCACTACTGTACATGCAACGGGAGTCACATCATCACAGAGTGGTGCTGTAAATGAATATTGAGCTGTGCATGTGTAGGCATGCTGGGAGAGGGTTTATGAAAGAAGGTACCAATAGGGTAACCAGCAAAAAGAGATGGTGGCTTGGCACTATTTTTCGATATAGAGACCAATAGTCAACTGAACAAGGCACAACAATCAAATATAAACTTGGCACCACAGAAGATGCACTGTTTCCTTATCTGCAGAATATTGGTAAGGAACAGGGGCTGACTGACCATTTGGAAACTCGGGCACTGCCCGAGGGCCCGGGGTCAGTAGGGGGCCCCATGAGATGCCCCTGGTACCTTTTTCATAGGCTTTTTTGAGTTTGGGCAAGGACACAGGGGCCCCATGATCCCCTATTGCCCGGGGGCCCCATGAGTTCTCAGTCCGCCGCTGGTAAGGAAGTTGGCTTTACTCCACAGAGATACAAATTCCTTACAATTTCACTGTGGCAGTGTTCCATTGGAGGGGTGATGGTGTTGACAGATTCCACGAGACTGCCACGGTATATGGCAGCCGGAGGCACTCTGTCCAGGAACAGTGCAGCGCAAAAACCCTAGAAAGAAAACCTACACATCCCTACCAACCCGGAACCCCTCCCTAGTACTGCACCTGCGCTTTCCCTACCCAATAAAGTTCTTTCCCTACTTACTGCCTAATTGCAGGTGCACTGAAATAAACTAACTGCTATATTTATAGGGTCCCAAATCAAGATAGCATACTCAAAACGCGCAGGACATCGACATCCACTCAGATCACCGTCCTCCCCATGATGGCTGTCTGGAGACCAAGATAGGAGACATTTTTCCTCAATGGACTCCTACTAACCTTAAGAGATGGCGTGATGCCACCTTGATGTTGGAGGAAATACCATAGCCTGCATCTGCCTACAAGCATGATATCTAAAAAAACTAGCATTTTTGGAAGAAGGACGACATATTTGTCTCCTATAAAATAAGCTGTGTCTTGGGCTGAAAAGGCACAAGAGCGTTGAGATAGTCCCCTTTATGACCTTCTTTTTTTGCAGATTGGTTGTAGCAGACCCAAGGGTAAAGCCCATTTTTTTACCCTCTTTGTTAAAATGTTCCTGCTTCACCGTGTTGCCAGTCAGATTGCAGTGGAGAAAATATCTGATTAAAGTTGCATTTCTGCTAAGCCAACAGAATGTTGCTATAGAGATTGAGATGAAATGAGCAAGTTGTGATGTAATTACATCTAACCCTTTTAGTAGTTTTGACAGTGACTGCGGTGACAACGGAGAAGTTATCTGCTTTATTAAAGTTAAAGTAAAAAAAAAACAAAAAACGTGCAGAAATAGCAGGTAATTCACTTGTTCTTCAATCCCCCCACTTTTTTTTCTTTTTAATACATTGCTTAAGGTGCACAACTGTAATGTTCCCGCCATAATTACATGCGTGCTGGTGACCTTTCCTCCTCGCTGCTTACATTTTGATGGAGAAAAACTCACAAGCCTATGCAAAACAACTGAATTTGGTTACTTTGTTATTTACATTACAATAAATCTCGAGCTGTCATGTCTGAGTTTACAATTCAATTACTTGCGGAACTTGACGGCCTGTTCCTTAGTTGTTGATTAAAAATATTCCAATTTTTTTTTTCATTTCAGACGGAAAACGGCAAAAGACGTCTTCTGTCTTTTTTTTTTTTTTTTTTTAAATGGTCTTATTATGCTCTTATTTTTCTAATAAGAATATCCAGTTGCCATAGGACTGGATGCAGAGCTGTTTTATCATAAAAATAAAACACAAAATTCTGTTTCTTAAAGTGACACTCAACTTTGGTCTAAGAAAATATAATTCTGGTCAAGTAACTCAAAAAAGTCCCTTATATTGCTCTCAGCTCCCTCTAAATCTCCAAATTCCTTTTTTTTTTTTGCTGCGTTTGTACTTCCTATTAGAGAGTGTCTACATTTGTTCTGCATGGTCCCATTGTATGCAGCA